CGCCTCTTCCTGGATTTGACGACGAAGGCTCCGACTGTAGCACAGAATGTGACGCCGACAGTGAGGAAACTTATACTAATGAAGAGGAGGAGGTTAGCCCTGATTTCTCCCTTTATTTTTATTATTGTAATGAACTTTTCAGTATTTTTGAATGAAAATAAAAATTATTTTTGTTACTCCTTTCTTTTCAGAAGACATGTCCCATGTGTGGAAACTGCTCCACCCACCGTGAGCATGTACAGAATATTATGGTACCTGCTACGGTTGGTCGAATGAAAACTATCATAGCGCAAAACGTCTCGCCGGCGTATATGAAGAACTACAGAACGCAGAGAAGAAGCGCGAGCGTATGCGCAAGCATTACGCGCATTTAGTGAACTTGTGGAGGGTATGTGGCTTTTTTTGATTAAAAATTGAATAAAGTATTTATTGTCGCCTTTTCAGCAGCTGACTCCCAGGAAGCAGCAGCTCACTTATGTTAACTTTGGGCTGCTGCATGGCGAAGCGTTGCCATGGCAGCCGCACCTTCCCAGTGGTGGACGTCCAAGAAACACTTAAGCTTTTGGAAAGTGAAACTTTACTCTTGAATAAAAATTTTAATTGTGAAGGTTATTTTATCCTTCTTCTTCCCAAGGTTTTGAGATCTTATATATTTAAACCTGTTATTATTTTGTTTTAATCCATTTAGCAGCATGTCAAAACCTGTTATTATTTTGTTTTAATCCATTTAGCAGCATGTCAGTACATTCGCATTTGACTCCGGAGGACTTCCACCATATCATGGTCCAAACTCTGATAGTAAGTATTGAAGGGATAAAACTTACCTACCATTTCGTCTGATTTACCTTCAATTTTCAGCCGACCGCCCTGTCCTCAATGTCCGTTTAGGCTCCCAAAGATGAGCCTATCACAGACTCACCGGCAAGCAATAGTTGCGTGGGGCGAAAACTTAGATGAACAAGCCGATGCGCAAGAGGGACACGTAATAAAGGACGAGATCGGCACCCTGCAGGAAGTTATCACAAGGTTGGAACACGCGCTCCGCACGGTATGTGATTCCGATGATAAACTTTTTCGCTCTCCTTACTCTTCTTTCTGTATGTTGTTTCCTTTCTTTTATCATTTATTTTTAGCAAACAGCGGAGTTCAACAGGGGGACATTGGAGGTGGGACGCACTCTCAGCCTTGAAGACTACATCGCTGAAGAAGACCGCATGAATTTCCCGGCGGAACTGCCACGCGACGACAAGCCGGGGCCGGCGCAGCCCGAAGAATAGGATATTTGTCTTAGGCAATACATTTTGTTACGCTTACTGTAATCTGATCTTGCGTAAGCGCGAGAGTGATGGTTGGCAGCTAGCGCGAGAAGACCAGGCGCTAATAAGCGCAACTGTCGTTGGTTGCCGACATTGAGTTTCGAGTGACCCGATACGATTAATGATGTGGGTTGCTACTCATTAATCTAGTTTGAGAGCGAGTCGGACATATGTTCTGCTTCAGATTAGGGTGATCAGTGATCAGATGATCATTAATCTCGAGATACGAAATTAGCGCCACAGGATTAGTGATCTCGGTTGGAGTTTCCGAGTGACAAATGGCAGACGTTAGTGAGCTATGAATAGCCTACCGTATGCAAGGAATCGAAGGAGCTGAGGTTGGTAAATTCTCCAAGCGCTCAAAGAATGAAGAAGTCCGCCAGAGTCTCATTCCTAGAGATAGTAGGAGTGAGCAATGGCACTTCTGAGTTCCGGATAAGTGGAAGACGTCAAAGTAGCGCTCTTTGATTTATTAGTAACGGCTTTTGCATGAATGCAATATTTGTTATNCCGTTTAGGCTCCCAGAGATGAGCCTATCACAGGCTCACCGGCAAGCAATAGTTGAGTGGGGCGAAAACTTAGATGAACAAGCCGATGCGCAAGAGGGACACGTCGCTCTAATAAAGGACGAGATCGGCACCCTGCAGGAAGTTATCACAAGGTTGG